GCACCGGATTTGTCTTGTTGCTGAGTGCCGCGGAGTCAGTTCTGACTCATAGCGACCCTGTATAGGTTTTTCGAGGAGTGGCTGATGGGTTTGATCGTTCAACCTTGTGATTAGCAGTCCCGTGCTTACTCTGCAGCACCACACCAGGAATCCTTGGACTCTACCTGATTTGTGATAATTCAGCTCCTGTTGGATCCTGGGCATTGCAGTGTTGCGTTACTCATCTCTGTGTTGTTGGGTGCTGTCAGGTTGGTTCTGACCCATAGCGACCCTGTATATGGTTTCCAAGGAGCGGCTGGTGACTGACCTTGCAGTCCAGCACGTTAGCCCACAGCTCCACACCAGGCCCTGCTGGTTTCTCTAAATGTGGAAGCTCCTTGGTGCCCAGTCCTAACAAAAGGATGCATGTGAGGAGCCATGCTCCTGCCACCATCAACTTCTGAGGGGTTTATTTCAAATCTAATGATTGCGGAATGCTGATATTTTAATGCTTACCTTGCCCTTTGAAATGCTGGGAATGAAGCCTCCCTTACCAGGAAGCATTCTCAGTACCTTGGTTAAGTGTCTTGCCACAAAGCATATTGTCTTTGACATGAAGTATCCTGTCATAAAGGGGCTGTGGTGGTGCGGTGGTGAAGCACTAGGCTGTTCACTAAAGTCAGCAGTTGGAAATCAGCGCCTCCCTGTAGGAGATCCATGAGCCATTCTGTTCCCATACAGCTGTACAGCCTCAGAAACCCCATGGAGCACTCTGTTAGAGTTGTCAGTGGCTGGAACCGGCTCCATAGCACTTCGTGACCGTGACCTACGTACAGCCACGCCCAAGGACTAGCATGGTGGTGGTGTTAGGTGCTTGCAAGTCAGTTCCCACTTATAGCAAACCCTGTATAGGGTTTCTGAGGAGCAGCTGGTGGGTTTGCACTGCTGATCATTCGGTTCAACCTGACCTTGTGGTCGAGTGCGTATCCTCCAGCCCCACCCCAGGACTGCAAGCACTGCCATATCTCTGCGTAAAATCCAGTGTGGGCGCTCTCTGAAGACAGGGGTGACGGCACTTAGGCAGAAAGCCTGAAGCTGCACTGTTGTTGGTAGTCCGTTTTGCTTGCTTTGTTATGGATGGAAAAGCAAAGGCAGCAGGGACCAGGCCTATTTCTTGATATTGCAGACTTCTGAGGAAAGTTGGTTTGAACTGCAAGATCAGCAGTTCAACCTCACCAGCCGCTCCTTGGAAACCCAATACAGGGTCGCTATAGGTCGGAACCCAATTGGACAGCACTTCACAGCAACACCACCACCTGGTGAGATGAGAGGCTGGTGGAGGCCCCGAGACTGTGGGCCGCAGCAGTCTCCCTTCAGGTCTGGAACGGACTCACCCCTGCGACGCAGGTTTCAGCCACACAGGAGATAGAGCTCTAGGGAACAACACTAGTGAGATATACACACCACAGGCGGGTCGACCCTTTGAGATCAAAAGTGCACCTCTGACCCAAGGAAAGTAGAGGGAAAAAAAATTGTTTAGGAGTTCAGTGCTTGATGGCTAACCTGAATGTTGGCAGTTCAAACCCACCCAAGGTGCTTTGGAAGAAAGGCATGTTGATGTGCTGAAAGGTCACAGCCACTGAAAAGCCTGTGGAGCACAGTTGTACTCTGAAACCCGGCCACTGCAAGTCACTGTGCGCTCAGTGCCCACTATATGGTGTGTGGTTCGTACACAATGGGAAAACCACAGGACAGTGACTGAGTGTCCTCAGGGAAAGCCGGACACCAGCTCTTCTCCACATGGGGATCACCAGTGGTGGCCTTTATGCACTCGAGGTGCACTGGTCAGGAATTGAGCCTGGGACCTCTCAGGGCAAGGTGAGAATTCCACCATGGAGGGCCCCAGAGTCGAGGAGAAAAGAAACAACATGGGGGAGAGTTGAGTAACAATGCCTGGTTGGGTTGTTGTGTGAGGTGCCATTGAGTCGGTTCTGAGTCATAGTGACCGCAGATAGAACCGAAGGAAGCACGGGCCCGGTCCTGCACAGGCCTCACAGTTGTTGCCATACTTGAGCCCAGTGTTGGAGCCACTGGGTCAGTCCATCTTGAGGAAAAGGAAGACCCTCCATGCATGGCCAGTCAGTGGGAGCTGAATCACCAGAGGGAGCATCGAGTCATGAGAGCACTGTGCACTGGATGGTACAGAGACTGTGAGGAGACGGCGCGTGGGTCACTCCAGGGATAAAGTCAGAAGAGGGAGCATCCTGGGAGGAAGCCGAGCCACAGCAAACAGCCAGGCCCATCTGTGGGGGGTGAGGGTGGGGGACACATTGTGTGTAGAGCAGGGTGTGTTCTAGCGGGGAGACACTGTGTGTGCACTGCAGGGCATATTCTAGGTGTGGGGACACTGTGTGTGCACTGCAGGGCGTGTTCTAGGTGTG